TTCTTGATTTGGTCATCATCAATATCTTCCATAGATCACATTCACATCAAAGTTTGGTAGAATTGGGGAAGAAATCGTGTTGTTCAAGATAATCATCCAAAGTGCAAGAACTTTGGGATTGCTGAATTCAGAAGGATTGGACAAGATTCATTGCATACAGAACTCATAATCAAGGTTACTGGTCACTTTCCAATCACTGCAAGCATCAGATCCAAGGGTTTCCATAGCTGTTTTCACCATTTTGCACCAGGTTAGTTTCTCTTCGAATTGGCTGAATTAGCTAGAATCATGGATAGTTATTAGGTTAGAATGGTTAAGCATAGGTAGATGATTGATTTTGGTGAGTTTGAAGAAGTTCCATGAAGGTTGTTAATGGTGCACCAATTCTGTTAAGGTTCATAACTCATGGAATATGGCACGATAATCCTCTTTAAATAGTTCAGAATGACCAGCATAAAGTGTAGATTAGGTTAGGATAAGATTTGGCAAGGTTTGGTATGGTTGATGACAGGTGTTCATGGTGGATTCTATTTGTTCTACCTATCGGGTTGGTTTCTTGAGTGAGCTTCAGAACGAGATAATGGTATGGTTGCGTAGAGGAGAGTTGATAGAGCATCTTTGCTCTTTGAATCGCGTGATTTCATAGGGGGACGAAGGAGGACAGAGCAATGGAAGGTGCTTGCATGGTTAGGGTTTCTCAGAGTTAGGGTTTGGCTCAAGGTTGAAGATAATGTTTGAACCACACGATTGAGTATTTGACCTTGATTGGGGATCTAATCCGATGGCTACGATTTAACATGAAAACGGAGGGAAATTCAAAGGGTGCTACGCACCGTTTCATTAAAACGTTTCTGATGGGCTCAAACTTCCCTTGCTATTCGTACCCCTCTCAGCCAAGGCCCAATAAACTGAACTGTGAATTTTACTATCTGCACCGTTTTGAGTTTTTTTTATTTTTGTTTAATTTCTGAAGCGTGCTAGGCCTAGTAGCTTTGATATTCACACCCCTGCTCTGTGGCCCACCTGGAAAAAACAACTGAGCGCGTTGGCTATTCTCACCCCCTCCCTCTATTTCTCTATATTTCATTTTTAAATTTCTTTTCATTTTCATGCATTTTCCAAAAATCATAATAAATCATAAACTTCATATTTTTTAATGATTCTTTTTGCATTAATTTCTTCAAGATGTCTAGAAAATTATAAAAAATAAAAATTGCATTTTATTTTTTATTTGATATTTTTCCCATATTTTCCAAATAAATGCCTATTTTAGGTGTTTCATTTCATACATGATTTTGTTAATTTTTGTTCTAATAGTTGCTTTAATATTTTTCACCCATTCTTTTTAGGTTGATTCATAGACATTGTTAGCTTGTATATGCAATTTAGTTCATATTTTTAGGAATTAATTTTAGGTGTTTAGTTTAGGTGAAAATAATATGAACAGAATTAGGGTTTAAGTGATGACTTAGGAGAATTAGTTCATTTCCCTTAGGACTTAGAGATTGAATATTTTAGCTATGGGACTATAGGGACTATGGGTAGTTATTAGATCCCTTAGAAATCACTAGGATTCCCCTACTGCTATTAGTATATTACTGTCTTTATTTGATTGACTGGCATGGTGTGCCCTCTGGGGATTATTGTTTGTCTGTATGGGTATTGGGACTGCTTGGGGATTGGTAGAGCTGAAGACTTGTGATGTTGAAGCCATTGGAGATCCAGAGACTGAAGACCAACTTCCAGAGTCGAAGAGGAGATTCCTGCTAGCAGCTGTTGAGGAGATTAGGGTTTAGGAGCTAGGCAGAGCTCTAGATTAGAAAGCTTGTTTCTCAAATATGGAATGCTTTGTCTGCATCCATCCTTTCTCTATGATTCAAAGTCTCTTTCAAATATCCACCTCCTTCCTTTGGAAGGATCAGTGAATGTATTTGAAAGATAGAACTTTTGAGAGGAAACTGTTTGTTTAATGTTAACAGTTGATGAACCACCCTTGGTAGGTAATTAACTGTCTAACATTCATTCACTTCATCTTGTTGACTGATGTTTCTCCTGGAGATTGAGACTTGAAGAAAAGCCATTGCAGATGGAAGACTGATAATGAAGACCTTGCTTGAAGGCTGCGGAGATGGAGATTGATGCTTGCTGAAGCTTGTTGCTGTCTGGAGAGGACTTGAAGATAGGTGTTGATGCAGAGCTGCTGTGGCTGTTTATTTTTGTTGTATTTCACTTCTGATGTATTGATTGGTTTTCTGGACTGTATTGTTTGCTGTTTACCCTGTTGGGTTGAAAGTGAAGCTTGTTCACTTTTGCCTATTGTTTTCTAGGTTCGAGGTTGAGTGGGACTCCCTTGCCTCACTTGTATTGTTGCATCCATGCATTTTACTGCTTTACTGCATATATCTGATATTGTTTCTGTTTCCGTCTATTCCCTTAGGATCTTAGTTTCTCTCTGTGCAAGAGAGGAGCATGATAGACATTAGGTCTTAACCCATGCATGATAACATTAGGTTAGTTTGATTCCCTTCGCAACCGTAGGTTAGAGTTCTGTCTCTTCTTCCTCAAAACAAACAGAAAAAACACAATAAAGTTTCAAACTCAATAAAAGACACTTCTTCCGTAAAAGAATGTGAACTCATCAAGACGTCATTTTTGTCTGCTTGGACTGCTAATCAGAAAAACCTTTTTCAGAAGGAATAAAATCAACCAAGACAGACTTGTGTCGTACGTGGCCCGAACTACGTTTGCTCTGATCTTTCATGCTGTATGAAAGTACGTAGGCATAGGATGCGATATCCTAGCGAGCAACCTTCCCCTCCTTTCCCGTAGGTAGGCGAACTACGTTGACTCTGATTTCTCGTTCCAGACGGGAATACGTAGGCATAAAGTGCGATACTTTGCCGAGTCATTTTATTTTCTTTTTAACCCCTGACCTTTAGTTTAGATAGAATAACAATCCATACCCGAAAACAAGCGTGGATCCTGTCGAGTACGACGGACGTGAGGGGTGCTAATACCTTCCCCTTGCGTAACCGACTCCCGAATCCAGGTTTTGGTTGCGATGACCATACCTTTCCCGTGTTGTGCGAGGTTACTCTGAGCGTTTCCTTTCCCTCCTGTGGGATAAATAGCGCACGGTGGCGACTCTTCTGTTCAGCCGGCGCCGATTTTCGCAGTAGCGACAGGCAGCCACCCGGTTTCGTGATTAAAAATCAAGAGAGGAATTACTACAAGCTACACAAAGCGTTGTATGGTTTGAAACAAGCTCTAAGAGCTTGGAACAAACGTATAGACGACTTTGTTATTGACATCGGTTTCAAACGGTGTATATCCGAACATGGTGTTTATGTCAGATCGAATACTATTGATGGTATTATCATACTATGCTTGTATGTTGATGATCTCTTGATTACGGGCATCAATGACAAGAGTATTTCAAAGTTCAAAGTGGAGCTTATGAGTGAGTTTGAGATGATGGACCTTGGTGTCATGAGATACTTTCTTGGCATAGAGTTCCACAAGTCAAAAGTGGGGCTGCTTATGCATCAAAGAAGGTATGCTCTAGATATCTTGAAAAAGTGTGAAATGGAGTATGGTAATGATTCTAATACACCTTGTGAGGCTAGAGTTCAATTGTCCAAATGTGATGATGACGATGATGTGGATCCAACACTTTACTGGAGTTTGATTGGATCGTTACGGTATTTGTGCAATACTCGACCGGACTTGATTTTTAGTGTCGGTATTGCGAGTAGATTCATGGAGAGACCTAAGGTGTCTCATTTGGTGGTGGTCAAGAGAATCCTTAGATATGTGAAAGGTGCTCTTGGTTGTGGTATTTTGTTTCCCACATCGGATATGGGTCGCAAATGTACTTTACTTAGCTACACTGATTCTAATTGGTGCGGAGATAAAGATGATCGGAAATCTATGGCGGGTTACATCTTTATGTTCAGTAGTACACCAATCTCATGGTGTTCGAAGAAGGAACCGGTTGTAGCACTCTCTTCTTGTGAGGCCGAGTACATTGTGGCATCATTGAGTGTTTGCCAAGCTATGTGGTTAGTGAATCTCATGAAGGAATTGGGATGTGGTGATGATGATGCCACCACACTGTTTATGGATAATGTTTCCGCGATAAATCTTGCGAAGAATCCGTTTGCAAACGGAAGGAGCAAGCATATTTAGATGCGGTTCCATTACTTAAGAGAATTGGTCGGTGATGGAAAGCTTAGATTGAACTATTGCCGAAGCGATGACCAAGTTGCGGATTTGTTGACAAAGGGTGTGACAAATGAGGTGTTCAATAGACTGTTGAAGAGTTTGAGCATGATGAATTTGGAGCAACTAAAGTGAGGTGGTGGGTTGAAAGCTGTCAAATTCTGTTTTGGAAATTTAACAACTTTGGCCACTTTAGTTGGTTTTGTTGTTTTTGATTACTCTCTTATGTGTATATATACATTGTTGTAATCCCAATTCATAGTTAATGCCAATTTAGTAATTCATCCAATATTACTCTCTTCTCTATTCTCTCTTTCTCTCAATTCATCTTCTTTCTAAGTTTTTTTAACCATTGTTACTACCTTCAAAATTCTGGCTTTATGTTTTATGTTGTTCTAACACCACTTATATTGTTTACACTTTTTGCAATTTTAACGATCATATAAAACATTATAAATTGAACAACATTATATTTTTATTTACCAACAATAACCAAATATAGTATTCAGCAAGTGACCGAACATTGAATTAGTTTATCATGGGCAAGATCCAAGGAGAATAGGCTGTATCTGACAACTTGAACACAAAGTTGAGGCAAAGATTGACAAAACCTGGCAGATGTGACCATCAGTTGTAATTGATAATTTGATTAACTAACTTCAGTAGATGTTTTTATCAGTAATTGTGAGGTTGTCAAAAGCCATGCAACTTATCGCCATTTGTGCAGAAGAAACTAATTTCTTTCATAGTAGGACACCTCAAAAAGTCCTTTATAGTTTTCAGACATGAACTTCTTCAAAGTAACGTTCTGGCAGCTCAGGCCGGGACGGCAAGTTTGCTACACATTTAAACTGTTCCAGTGAATGATTTCATGTCAATACACTTGAAATACTATGAATTGACTACAACAAAAGAAATACTTAAAAGTCGAAAAAAATCACCTTTTTCTTCTTGTATTTGTCACGAACAGCTTTCAAGGATGCTGCCCTTCTTGACAAATACAAACCATGTAGAATGATAACACAATCTTCCAAATCATCAGATCCATATTCCAATGAGTCATAGAGGTACAAAGTCTGCAATTAATTCAAAATATTAACTACATTGAAATTTTACCCTTTTAGAGAATCAAATAGATTATAGTCTATAACATCAAATATTTACCCAAGGATCTAATCTAGGTTGGATAATAAATTTGGCAAGAAAATATTAAGTACATTGAAATAGATTATAGTTCATAACATGGAATATTTACCCAAGGATTTACTCTAGGCCGGACAATAAATTTGGCAAGAAATATAACAGAGGCAGCCACTGTGGAAGGCTTAAATTGTAGACATTCATAGTCAAGCAGACTTAAATCTGCAAGATAGTTGCACAAATATTCAAACTGCAAATTGGAAGTCTGCAATTAAAACAAAATCCAACAATAATTAGTATATCTTTGAAAGCATTTGACATTATCAACTAGTAATAAAACAACAGTTCAACTTACCTTTCGATTATCAGATGCAATCACAACAAACCTCCTGAAGTGAAACAAATCAAATGGAAAATAAGATAATCAGTACAAGTAACCTCAATCCCGCAAAGTTTAGATATTCGAATTTAAGATATGAAAAAAAATAAAAAATCGTAACCTTAAAAATGTGATGACATTAGGGTTTCCCATTTCATAATTTAGGGACTTGAGTATCTTAGCTTCCATCTCTAAAACCTACATTAACAGCAATATATATGAGAAACAAAGCAACAAAGAACAAAACTACAGAAAATTTTGATACAAGAGTAGAGAAATGAGTATGATATTTACCTCATGCAGTTCATAGGTGTGATTAGTAATTTGGCAGAAATCTATCGCTTTTGGTGGATTTGTTTCTTCATACTTCCTGCATATTTAAAAGTGATGAAATTTTAATGTTTAAGACAACATTGATAATTTTGATGAAAAAAAATAAATAAAGAAGAAAAGTTGTTGAGATCTTACGATGCAATGAGCAAAGCAGAAACACCGAGCAATTGAAGCTTGGATCTAATGACAGAATGGATAGATAGGAATCTATCAATGTAGGAAACAGCTAGATGAAGGGTTTCTGAAAGAAGTTTATATTCATCAGCAACCTCAACTAACCAATCAACCAATGTTCCCCTCATGTTTGTAGTAATGTATCTCTGAACTTTTTCAATGTAATCCATGGCTGGTTTTCGTTTTTCCTCGATCTGAGAAACAAGTAAGAAGGCATTAATTTAAAAACACAGAAATTGTGAATGAAACTACGCATTAATAGAAAAGGTGGTGGATTGGATTACCTCCATCATGCGAAGATAAAGAAAGATATCGGATACATAAGGCTCGTCAATCTGTTGATTGTCACGTTTCACATTGCTTTTGTTACAAATTGGCTCATCCAAATTGGAAATCGGAAGTGAAGAAATAGTTGATGATGATGCTGATTCGGTGAGGTTCTGTGTAGGCTGGTAACCAGGAGGAATACTATGATCTGGAAATTCTTCCAAAACAACTCGCTGCCTTTTGTGAACAAGAACAGAAGGTGATTCATTGCTGTTTGTTCTTTTCATTGAGCCACCACTCTCCATGTATGTTTCACTGAAACACAATCAGAAAGAAATGAAAATGAGGCTTCTGTTTTATACGTATTAGTTTTCCCGATAATAGATTTGAAATTTGGCGAAGTTCGGGTTTTGTTTTTTTCGTCATTTTGAATATGGCGCGTGTATTTTCTCCTTCAGTATATTAAAATACTTTTTATTCTTTAGATTTTAATTATAAAATATATATTTCTGGAAAAAAACTAAAATTAAATAAAATATTTTTTTCTGAAAATTAAAAAAAACTGAATATGAAAAAAAAGAAAATTGGGAAAAACATTTTTTTCCTAAAAATAGAAAAATTATTTTCTCCTTAAAATAAAAAAATAATTTTTTTTCTGAAAATAAAAAATGATAATTTTTGACTTAAACAGGAAATATCCAAAAATAGAAAAAGAAACTTTATGAAAATAAAAAATTCCTAATTATTTTTTCTTAAAATAAAATAATGATTTTTTAAACTTTTATTTTATATTGTGTTTGTTTTAAAAATTTAAATTTCATTCTCAGAAAGAAACGTGACATTAGAAATGTAATCATTCATGTTTGTTTCAAGAGAAAATGGATGATGTACGAAGTGTAAATTATTTTTATATTGTGAATTAACGATGATCATGTATTTTAGTAAATTAAATTACAAATTTTAAATTAATGATATGATATGACATAATGATATATTCTCATTAGTTGACGGTGTTAAACTTTTTCACACTTTCAATGCATAATCAAATTCTTAAAAGTTATTCTTAAATATTTTTTTCTTTGAATAGTGTTACACATAATTTTTTTCATAATTATTCTCATGGTTAAATGGAGAATCTAACATTCTCATGAGAATAAAGTTTAACTAAAACAATTTTATTTTTATTTTTATTTTTTATTTTTATAATTTTTAAATTAAATAAATATTGTAAATATTCTGGAAAAATTTACTTTCTGAAGAAGGTGATGACCTTAATTCCTCGATAAGCATAGAAGGCCTTATTTTCCTGAAAATTTGTCGAATCAATCAACCACAATAGAAGAACTTATTTGCCTAATAAATCAACCACAATGGAATGCCTTATTTCCTTGGAAATTTGCCCAATCAACCAACCATAATCTACCAAATCAGTTACTTAAACCACGTTAAACTCAGATCAACACAAAATGTTGAATGCTTTCCACTCAGCCAGCTTCCAAAATCCTGCGTCAAAGGGGATAGGCTGGACATTGTAATTTCAAAGAAATATACTAAAAGAGTGTGGAAGCGTGCAAGCACAACTTACACGTTAGGGTCATCTAACCGAAAGGTTCTGATCCTCTAACAGTGCAGAAATTGAAGACAAAGCTCTTAAGTATTTGGAAATCAATCGGAAAGTGGGGAATCGCCTCTCTTGGAAAGGGGCATTTTGAGTTTTCATTCACAACTTTAGAAGATCTGCGTTGAGTTAGGTCCATTTCATTTTGGAATTTAAATCTAGGGATATTAAAGCTTTTTTCTTGGAGCAAGGATTTCAATCCATGCCTTATCAAGCAGTCTTTAGCTTAAGTATGAGTTTGAATACATGGCTTAACACAGATGTACTTGAGGCATATAATAGTTTTTGCTATAGATAGTAGTGTGCGTTCACCCTTATGCACAGATTCAACTTCAAATAATAGTTGTTTTGAGAGACCCTTTGGTCATTTTATTAGGGTCCTTGTTGATCTGGAGCCATCAAAAGAATTTAGGCACAAGCTTTTGGTCCAAAGAAAGGGTTATGCTTTCTTTGTGGGATTGAAATATGAGAACTTATCGGACTATTGCTTTAATTGTAACATTATTGGCCAAGGTCTTAACAAATGCAAAAGGAGAATGGAAGAAGTTGATATATAGGGAGATGCGAGACATAAAAAAGATCAACAAGAAGGTTTATGTGTAAGTGAATGAAAGGGCTCAAAAGAGAATGATACAAATCACAATGCTAACAAGGATCGAGATGTAATGACGAGTTAGAATGGTTTCGAAGATACAACTCTTAATGAGGCAATCAAGGAAGCTCATGAAGTTAATTCAAATATTGATGGATAGGTGTTAGATGCCCAATTGTGCTTATTTGAGCTATCAATTATGGGCATCTTTCGCTCATTTTTTTGTCTAATTTCGGTTCAAAACCGCCTTGCTTTTGGTGATATGCGATATGATGCGAAATGCTCTTGGTCCTTTTAATTTGTGTGTTATTGTGCAGTATTTGAGCATGAAAGAGTAGAATTTGAACACACAAGAAAGTTGACAAAGGAATCAAGAAAGAACAAGAGCAAAAGCATGTTCGCTAGGCGAGCATCTAGCGAGTGTTGCAGCGAGTTGTTCGCTAGGCGAGCCCATAGCGAGCTGCTAGCGAACACTCCCAGATTTGGGCAGAATCAAAATGGCATTATTCGCTGGCAGCGAGGCAGGTGGCGAAGAACTCGCTAGGCGAGCACCTAGCGAGCAAGTAGCGAAGCATTCCAGAATCTTTTCCTCAACCCTCGCTAGCATGTTCGCTAGGCGAGGCTGTAGCGAACGTTCGCTGTTAGCTCGCTAGGCGAATGAGGACGCGAGCATGACAGGACAACAACTTTTTCTATATATAGCCCTTTGTACTTTTTGAACAAATATCATATTTTTTACTAGTTTTGCTGCATAAGAGATTTTGTGACCTAGAAACCCTCTATCTCTTATTTTCTTCATTTCCAAACATTAATCTACAAAGAGAAGGTGGATTCTCATCCAAGTTGGATTCTTTGACTCGGATGTTCATCAACCCTCTTCCAAAACTTCTTTTGCAAGCTACCATGAGAATGAGTAGCTAAGTTCTTCATTTTGTCAAGGTTAGATGTAGGTGATCATTAAGCTTTGTAAGTATATGGATGATCTTCATTTGTAAACTCTTGGATGATGAATATATGGTGAAAACCTTGCTTTATCTTTAACTCTTTGTGTTGGTTTATGATCGAAAGATATTTTCTAACTCTTGACCTAGGTTTTCATCCTTCTATTTTCTTAAGCTAGAGATAGTTTTGAATGTGGTTGTTCATAGAAAAATGTCAAACCTAAATGTTGTCATTTTGATAGATTGTGTGAGAAATCAAAAATGGATCAAAATGGGAAAAATCACAATGTGAGCTAGAAATAATCACATTGGGAGGATGTTGTGAATGTGTTTATCATCTAAAGGAGTTTATGCATATTGTTGATCGAACATATACAAGCAAAGTGATTACCGAATTCTAACTTTGACAATCTTCATTAAATCGTAAAATCAATCTTTTACCGCGATTCATTACCTTTTATGCAAAGATACCGTTACTAAAAACCAAACCCCTTTTGTTACTAAAAAGTTAAGAACTCGATAACTGTCGAACTGCGGCAATATCTCATATTCCCTGTGGAGACGATAACAAAAAATCGACACTTCACCACTGTCACCAACAAAATGGCGCCGTTTCCAGGGAATTTGAATTGATATTGCGAGCATCGCAATAGTTGTTGAATTGTTAACTCTTGAATTTTTTGACTTGTGCTTGTTAATTTGTTTGGTTTAGTGTGCAGCTTTCGTTTTATGGAGGACAGATTCCTAATGACCAACTTCTTTTTGATCCCGAGATCGAGAGAACCGCAAGGAGACTGAATAGCAGAACAAGACGGAGGAGGCAACTTGCTCGACAACGACAAGAACAAGGAGAAAGTTCTTCTACAACACCACCACCTCATTTCATACCTATCATGGATCCACCTCCACCACTGCCCGTTTCCACCCCGTGTATCAACAGTCCAAGAAACACTGCTCAGTTTGCCAACCACACGGGAAGGCAAGCCGAGATGAAGACGGGAACTCTCAACTTATTATACGGAAGTTCATTCACCGGAATGGACCATGAAGACCCCTTTGCTTTTCTCACCAAATTTTACGAGATAGCATTGGCGGCGGGAGTTGATCAAGCTCAAGAGCTATCGTTGTTCAAAAGACTCTTTCCACATGCTTTGCTCGGCAAAGCCAAAGATTGGTACTTGGATCAAACACTGGCGGTCATGACGGATTGGAACGTGTTGGAAGAGAAATTCATTGAAAGATTTTTCTCTCACAACCGGTTCATGGAATCCAAAACAACAATTTCTGTTTTTTCCCAAGGAGCCAACGAATCATTGAACGAGGCATGGGAAAGATTTAAATCCATGCTTCGAAAGTGCAAAGGTCATGGCTTTGATGAGTTGACGCAAATCCATATTTTCAAGAATGGCCTTCAACCAAATTGTAAGACTTTGTTGGATTCCACTGCGGGTGGTTCTTTGTTGTCTAAAAGCGTCGATGAAGCTACGGATATCATCAACCGTATGGCTCTAAATGACCTTCAAAGCCAGATTAGAGGAAACACTTTCAAGAAACTGGGAGTGCTTGAACTTAGGACAAATGATGCTATCCTTGCACAAAATAAACTCATCTCACAACAAGTGGAACTCTTAACTCAAAAAATCAAAGAGATGAAAGAGCCCTCAAAAGTTAAACAAATAGCTTGTTGTAAGCTTTGCAAAGGTGAACATGATACCGGATTTTGTCCACCTCCCGGGTTCGAAGAGGTAAACTATATGGCGAATCAACGAGATTACCAATCGAGGCAACAACAACAACAACCACCGTATCAACAACATTCTCAAAATCAAACACAACAACACTATCAACCAAATCAAGGGTACCAACCAAGGAGTAACTATCACCATAACCAAGGTTATGGGGGTGGTAATTCTAGCCGTCAAAATCCTTATCAACCTCAACAACTGTCGGTCGTAACTTCAAAATTGGAAGATACATTGACGCAATTTATGCAATTGTCAATGGCTAATCAAAAGAGCAACGGTGCGGCAATCAAAAATCTTGAAACTTAAGTTGGACAACTTGCTAAGCAACTAGCGGAACAACAATCCGGACCTTCTTTTTTGGCAAACGCAAACAAATCCAAAGGAGCATTGTAAAGCAATCACGACGAGA